TGGAAAGATTGACCATAATCAATTTACATAGATTTAAGTGACAAATTTCAAGCAAACTAGGTATTGCCTTGGAATAGCATGATCTTCTCAAGTAGGACACTCGAGACCTCTTGAGCGGGGGGTAGGGGTGGGGTTGGGGGGGGGGTGTTCGCGCGCCTCTGAAGGTGTTGGCCATTCAGAGAACAAAGTTAGAGACATGTAAGCAGAGGAGCCTAGATGACGACTCGTTTCGTGAGCAGCAGCAGTAACTGGTCCTATATGTGGATGAACGGCAGACACAATTGAAGGAAATGGGAGTTGAAGAGGGAGAAGCTAAAATCTGAGAAATAGAACATTTTTTTCATGTCTGATCTGGAGAAAAAGCCAGAAGTATTCATTTCTATGCAAGAGAGTTTTTTCCGCTCTCCTGAACATCTATAGGTCACCTTTAATCATTCCATTCCGTTATAATTGTCCTAAGGACCATTTTTGTTATGTTAAGGAAAAAAACTTTTTTTTTTCCAAGTCGTGATTCCATTAGACGGCACCACTTGAAGCTTGGATACAATGATGGTGACCAGTTAATGCAGCTAATTAGCTGATGACCTTCCAGAGTGACGTCAGGGAAGGGCATCGCCAGCTCCGGATACCGCATTTGGCAGTGCAAGCGGCCGTGACTGCCAAAGGGTGCTATTTGTTGAGGCGTGAAACCGAACCAGGGCAAGATAAAAGGAGCTGAGTCCTTATAAAAATAGTATTGTTTTTCATTAATGAGCTCTTTTTAATCAAGAGCTTTTAATCAAGAATGCTTTTCTTAACTAAAGGTTTAAGTTTCCATTTTCAGGTAAAAACCTTCCTGTGCCAATGTAAAAGTTATCTGCTAAGGCTCAGTAACGTTTATTGGTGTGCTAGCTAGAACTTATCATTTTAATTGCTTTTGTCTAGTTAATTCAAGACACAAACTTTATACTGAAGATAAAATTTACTTTCTAGAATTTCCATAGGCTTGTAAAGGGTTTCTGTATTCGCCCATTCCAAAAACTTTTACTGACTCCCTACGGTAAGCTAGACTTGAAGCAGACATTAGAATGCAAAGATGAGTAAGGCGCAGCCATTGCACTGAGACCCTCACAGAGCCTTTCGGGAAGGAATATTAAATCAGTCATTGTTATAGAATGTAATAAGTACAAGATTAGCATTGTCTTGGGCTAACAGGAGGGCATGGAGAATGTCAGAGAAGACTGGAGTGGCCATCACCTAGTGGCAACTGAACCCCTGACTGTGCCATATAAACGAAAACAAATACGCAAGCCAGCATGTGCCAATTTAATCATTTTTACCTGAGGGACCCTTTATGCCCCGATTTTGACACTCTCCTCTTAAATGACTTACTTTATAAAAAATTAAATCCAGTCTTTGATGTTCTAGTTACATTTTCCCAACAGTGTTTGTGGTGGACAATGCCCCCCTTGGGTCCTTTCAACGTTTGTGTGCTCTCTAGGCTTCAGTGTGCTTCAGCTTCCAACACTCCACGCCAGTGACTTCTCTTTGACTCACTGCCCTCGGGCCACCAAAGCCATTTTGTCCACACCTGCAGAGCCTGGGCTTTGCATCCTGGACATGGCTTTTAACCAGTGCCTGAGGATATGGGATTATGAAAGCCCTTCCCCCATTACCTTGGATCTGAACAAGTCCTCAAATTTCTCCCTGGGAGATCAGCTGAAGCTACCCTTTGTAAAACCTGTCCTATCCCCATGTTCCTCTATACCAGCCTCCCCTGGGGGCACTCCCTTAAGAAATCACCAGCACACAAATCCTTGTGTGGGGATCTGCTTCTAAGAAACTTGGTTTAAGACAATCTGACCCCCCTCTTCCCCAGATAAAGGAAAAATGTTCATCCTTGTACTCACAACATACCTTGTCCACCTACTTCAGTGACACACAACTAGCTCATTAACACTAAGCTGACACTGTTACATGAACCAGAAACAGAAAACTAAACAGAAAACTCTTAAGAGTTACAGAGCAGGTACTTCATATTCTTCTCTATGAAGGGACTATTTAATGAGACTGATTCTCCTGCTAGCAAAATTTCACTTTTAAACTATCTGATTTTTTTTTTTTAAAGATGTTTCATTAATTTTTTAGAGAGAAACAGAGAGAAACATAAATGAGGGAGAATCATTGATTAGCTGCCTCCTGTCCGCTCCCCATTGGGGACGGAGACCCGAAACTCGGGCATTGCCCTGACCAAAAATCAACCGGTGATTGCTTTTTAAAATTGATTTCAGAAAGGAAGGGAGAGGGTGAGATAGAAACATCAATGATGAGAGAGAATCATTGATTGACTGCCTCCTGAATGCTCCACATTGGGGATTTTGCCTGTAATCCGGGCATGTGCCCTGACTGGGTATTGAACTGTGACCTCTTTGGTTCATAAGCCAACACCCAACCATTGAGCCAAACGAGCTGGGCTGTCAGGTATATTTTTTGCAAACATCTTCCAATTCATGGCTATCTTTTTTTCTTTTTATTAACCAGCCTGCACCCTCTCCAATCTGGGATCCCTTGAGGGATGTCCGACCACCCATTTAGGCCCAGTGGGATAGGCGGTTGGATATCCCTCTCATAATCCAGAACTCCTGGCTCCCAACTACTCACCTGATTGCCCTAACTGCTTATGTCTACCAGCCGGATCACCCCCTAACCACTCCACTGCCAGCCTGATCGACACTTAACTGCTCCCCTGCTGGCCTGGTCATCCCCAACTCTCCTCCCCTGTAGGCCTGGTCATGCCCAACTCTCCTCCCCTGCAGGCCTGTATCCCCCCAATTGCCCTCCCCTGCCAGCCATCTTGTGGTGGCCATCTTGTGTACACATGGGAGCAGCCATCTTTGGCCACATGGGGGTGGCTATCTCTATCTTGGTGTGATAGTCAATTTGCATATTACTCTTTTATTAGATAGGATATCCTTTTAAAAGTAAAATTTAATAAATTTTATGAAGTCAAGATATATATATTTTTTAAAATATATTTTATTGATTTGTTTACAGAGAGAAAGGGAGAGGGATAGAGAATTAGAAACATCGATGAGAGAGAAACATCGACCAGCTGTCTCCTGCATACCCCCCACTGGGGATGTGCCTGCAACCAAAGTACATGCCCTCGACTGGAATCAAGCCTGGGACCTTTCAGTCTGCAGGCCGATGCTCTATCCACTGAGCCAAACCAGTTTTGGCAGATATTTTTTTTTTTAATAACTTGCATTTTTAAAGCCTGTTTAAAGAACTTTTGCCAAACCTACTGACCAATAATACCCTCTTCGCCATGGGTACAGATGACCTTTTCAAAAGAATACTTCAGAGTCACTTACCGCAAAGATGACTGGAGATGACCCACACCCTGTTTGTCATCCCTAGTCATATATATATACACACACACACACACACACACACACACACACACACACATATATATATATATACACACATATACATACACACACACACATATATATGTATATATATATGACATTTAAAAAAATATGGCTAAAAAACCTTTTCTATTGTGTTATAACTTTTACTTGCTGTTCTAATGGTTGTAATAGGTTAAAGACTTAAAAAATCATTCTCATTTTTCAGGATTATAGAGAATTAAAGTACAGAATTCAAATATTCATCTACTAAGAAAAAAAAAAAGAATCATCAGGTAAAAGAAATGAAAGTGTTCTCAACTCGGTGTAAAACCATTCTATTGAAAACAGTGCTAATAAATATATGACAACCAACAGTGCACTTCAGGTAGATAATAGAAATTTAATAGTAATATCACAAAATAAACAAATTTATAAAAGCATTTAGTTTTAGATGCTAGAAATAATATACATAATAAATTCAGCATGGTACTGATAGTGCTGCAAGATTATATTTTATTGTTCAAATTATAGATTATGCCAATCAGGCTGCTTTGTATTCAAGTTCAAAAAGATCTACTTTTATTACTAAAAGTATCTGGACTTATACATTGCTACTGAAACCATGTAATGCCTGACATATTGCAATTGGAGCTGTGTGACTGCCATCTTAATGATCCTCTCACAATGGAAATAAAAAAGGCAAACATCTCCCCTCTTTGGAATAACAGTTAACAAAACTGTCAGTGTCAAATATAATTCTTTTCTCCTTTTTCATCTCATATAAGCACATGCATGAGAGAATATTAAAAACAAAAAGGGCAGTTTTATGTTATATGCTAGGTTGATGCTAAAATCCAGAGACTAATTTTTAGATATAACATTTCTGGTTCTGGTCTTAAAAAAAAACAAAAAACAAACAAACAGAAGTAATTAACATTTTTAACACCAGGAAATATAATTTTGTTATTCTTTCATAATCAAAATTTCCAATTATTTCTAAGACTGTTTCTATAGCCTGTTTTCACTCAGCTAGTTTAGGAGACACACTGGTTGAAAAAGGGCTGAGGATATAAACTTTAAGGCTAAAAAATTCCATCTCCAAAATGTAAAGACTTAAATAGAGCCCTTGACAAGGTTATTAAATACCTAATTGCTGGTCATGAAAACAAGTAGATAAAAAAGGGCCACATTTAAATGCTTAAATGAAAAAGCACAGGCAGGTCTTTTACAACATAAGTAATTCTTTCAACATAGGGACATTTGCTGAAAGTAAAAGTTACCTTACTTCATGATACATCTTCTTCAAAACCATTACGCCTAATTCTGGATCAATGTCTCTTATGCTTTGGTTAGAAGATTTAATATAGTATATAGTCTGAGGGAGGTAACTATAGAACTCAACAAACAAAATAAAATAGATAAAATATTAGAATCTTAATTGAAAAATGTCATGTTTGTCCATCTTTTCCATGCAATCAGCATGCCCATCATAAATCTAACATATCATTTATAAAAGATTGTTACAGTCCCCACTGAAACTTGCTATTCTGATGAGCCAAATTCAAATGCTTTCATACAGGTGAGGATTAAAGAATGTTCTGAAGATTATTCATCATTGTCTGTAAAAAAAAAAAGGGAAAGAAAAAAATTTAATGTTTCCCTGCAAATCAACTGTATATATCTATTTGAAACAAAAATTATATTTTTTCATGATAAGTTAAAGAGCTTTAACATAATTTTTATTATAATATCACATATTCAGTGTAAAATATTCAGACAACACAATGAACAATAAAGTGGGAAGCAAAAAATCATCTACCCTGTTTCCCCGAAAATAAGACAGTGTCTTATATTAATTTTTGCTCCCAAAGATTCGCTAGGTCTTATTTTCAGGGGATGTCTTATTTTTCTATGAAGAAGAATACGGTACACATTTATTGTTAAATGAAAATAAAGGAAATTTATTACCTGTATACGGTACGGTAGTACGGTAGTTGTCAACACAAACCAGACAAACTGAATCCTACAGTATCAAGAATTTACTCATTTATTCAATGACAATCATGTCATCATCTTCTGGAACATCATCATAACAATCCAATTCCTGAATTTCCTGATGAATTTCTTGTGACTCCATTTCTTTCAGAATCAGTGGACCAAATCTCTCATGTTTAGCCTGGGGGGGGGGAGGCTTATTTTTGGGGGGATGCCTTATATTTCACTCAGAAGGAAACCTGTAAGTAGATCTTATTTTCGGAGGATGTCTTATTTTCAGGGAAACACGGTATAAGCCAAAGACAACCAACATTAATTTTATACAATTCTTCCCAGATCTTTACCTATGCATACATAAATATATTTTTAAAAATTATAATAAAATGCAGTTTTGAGACATGAGTTTTCCCCCTTAAAACACGTAATGGACAAAGAGATGAATACATAAGTAATAAAATAGATTATAAAATGTTAATGGCAGAATCTAGGTGGTGGGTATATGGGTGATAACTTGGAAAGTTCTTTCAATATTTCTATACAATGACAGTTTTACAATAAAATGTTGAAAAAGAATAAGTCATAGATATATGCCTCAATTTCAATGGCTGCATTTTGTTTTATTTTATGGATATGGCACAATTCAGCATTTCTATTTAAAGACACTTTCATTATTTCCATTTTTGTTGTTGATGTTGCTCACACTGATGCATGAATTAGAGCAGTTAATTTAATCCACGATAACAATCGTCATTTTCCACATGCCAGCAAAGGGGATTGCTCATTAAACTCCCAAGTGTCATGTCTAATCACTGCACTGCCTTAGACCCTTCACTCGCTCCCACTGTCTCAGGACAGAGCCCTATATGGATTACAAAGCCTTCATTATCTGGTCTTTTAAATATGTTTAGCCTTATCTACTTTCATTGCCCACTTTCCCTAAGCATCCCCTTAATTCATGCTTTAGTATCAGTGAATTGCTTATAGTTCTCCTAATGCAACATTTCACATCCCTCTATGTATAAATACACATATTGATTTGGGGGTTAATTCCCATTAATAATTCAAAATCCAACTCTCATATCTTCTCCCTTAGGAAGAATTACCCTGAAACATTGCTTTCTTCCAATATAGCCAGATCATTACCTTATGCAACATATATGTTACAATTATCACTATGTATTACAATTTAATTACTATTTTATAATCACACAATGTCTCAAATAGTCAGGAAAGTACAGAGAATAAAGTAATGAACACACACCTACCTAATCCTTAGAATTAATAAAAGTTAACTTATAGCTATATTGGTTTGGATTGTTAAGAAAAATCATATTACAGGTACAGAGTACTCTTCTTCAATCTTATTGACTTCTCTTCTTCCCCAGGGGCTGTATCCTGAGTCTGAAGTGTGTCCTTCCCTCCCATAATGTTTTACTTTTATTAGATATAAGTATACCTAAATAAAATTGCCTTTAAACATTACAAAAATGATATGCACTAATTACTTCCTCAACTGATCATCGATGTTTCTAGATCACTTTCCCTCTCCCTTCCTCTCTGTAAAAAATCAATAAAATATATATTTTTAAAAATTTTATATTTCTAATTCTCTAATAATAAAAATAATCTTTTACTATTTTGGAGGAAAGCATCTGCTTCACATTAATAAGTCACAACTGACGGGCAATTATAAGGACTAAAACTTGAGTTTTTCACTGATGTCTATGGACTTAGATGCTTGGAATCTGAAAAAAATTTTTTACCCTTTAAAGGAATCAACATATTATTCGAGCCTGAGAAACACTCTATCATAGTCCTCTCTTTTTTAAGAATAATGGGAACTGTTTCCTTTCTTTCAATACCAAAAATAGCTGTTCTCTGCATAACTGACATGTTTTGTCTCATGCATACTGTGACTCATGGACTTAATCAGGTTTCTTGCTTTGCTAGAAAGATCAGCACCAAATCGGTGACTTATTTCCACAAAATGTAGAAACTATTTCAACATACACTTTGTATTCTTACTTCAGTCTTGGCTTAATATTATATTGTTTGCACTCATTTGCCTGATATGTTGAATTTCTCAAACACTTGTTCTTAATTTTATCTTGTATAATATGTATTTTTAAATGCCATCTTTAATGTTTTCAAAACAAGATAAAATCTTATAAAAATTTATAGTTAAATTTAAGCATCAGCATTTTAAACCCTCAAGTTCAGTCTACAAATCATACTTATAACAGAATTTTCTGACCAATATTCTAGAAATATATTCTTGTTCAGAATCAGTTTATAAATTAATTTTGAAAAATTGGGTTCCTTACTTCATGATAAGATACTTAAAACAAAAAGACCAATTTTATTTTATTTTTTTTCTTAATCCTCACCCAAGGATATTTTTTTCATTGATTTTTAGAGAGAGTGGAAGAAAGGGAGAGAGAGAAACATCAATGTGAGACACATTAACTGTTGTCTTCCATGTGTGCCTGCAACCAAGGTATGTGACCTGGACCAGAATAGAACCTGCAACCCCAAAGTTCTTGGGCCGACGCTCTATCCACCAAGCAAACTGTCTAGGGCAAGACCACATATTATTGACCTTGATAACCCTCTTCATTCACTATACTTGACTTTAAGTAACACTGAGATTTTTCCAAAGAATTAAATGCTCCCAGAAAAAGGACTTGTGCCAAATAGGATAATCAAAAGAATCTGGTATATATGCTGTCACAGGGAAATCCCAGAAGAGAACTTTCAAGGTATTTTGTGTAATGGAACATTTTCATTAGACTGCATCTATATCTCTATATTAAGTTCTTACATTTTCCCACCAAATACTGTTATAGATATTTAACAATTTTTATAGAGAAGTGCTCCCTTAAGTTTCTATTGATAGATTTCACAGCAATCATCATTAATATAAAACATTTTACTTTTATTTGCTATAATCCTAAGGGGGCTAAAAGAAACCATAATGAAGAATAAGTGCAGCACTAATTACTGGCTTATGAAGGAAGATTGCTATATATTCAATGCATTACTTGTTGCCAACAACCCTAACTTTTTCTTGACAGTTATTCTGTTAAAAAGAATAGTACTGAAAAAAGTGATTTTTTTAAAAAAAAAATTCTCACCTGAGGACATGCTGAAAGGGAGGGAGGGAAGAAGGGAGGGAGGGAGAGAGAGGGAGAGGAAGGGGGGAAAGAGAGGGAGAGGGAGAGGGAGAGGGAGAGGGAGAGGGAGAGGGAGAGGGAGAGGGAGAGGGAGAGGGAGAGGGAGAGGGAGAGGGAGAGGGAGAGGGAGAGCTGTGTGAGAGAAACATCAATTGGTTGCCTTCTGCACATGCGCCAACAGGGGATCAAATCTGAAAGCCAGGTATGTGCCCTGACCAGAAATCCAAACAACTACCTTTTGGTGCACAAAATAACATTCAACCAACTGACCAACTGCGCCACTCAGCTGGGCAAAATACAGTGATTTTTGAAGCTATAAGATACTGACTGTATCTGAAGATTTTCTAATTTTGATTTATCAATAACTATTAAGAGTTTCTACAGGACTTACTTCTATTAAAACAATCCAGAGAAACATTTTTTTTGTTGAGCTTTAGAAAACACATATCATAAAACTTTAGGAAAAAACAATCAATGTAAATAAGTCTACATAATTATAAAGCTGCTCCCCAAATTAAAAAAATATTGAATTTCATTTTAGTAAACAATTTTTTATAAGTTAAACTATCAAATATTTTTATAAGAAGCATTGCTCTGAAATACTTGAACTGAATATTAACAGCTCTATTCCTAAGGTAATCCAGGTATTCAGCATCTTATGCCCAAACACACCTACAGTTTCAAAACAGATTACTTTCTATCTTGGCACTCTCCAAACCATCCAGGATATTGCTGCCAGATTAAACGTTATAAAACGTTATAAACATTCATTATGTCAGTTTTTTTCAGTTCAAAAGTCTTCACTGATTTCCTCTATGTATTTTACACACTTCACAGTGTCAGATCACAAAGACTAATTCCCAATAAGAAGCTTCTAATATAGTCAATTTAATCCTAATATACATTAATCAGTTCATTCTAAATTGTTCCCTTTATATTTCTTTCCATTTTCCACAAACCAACCTCTCCTTCTCTAATTCCTACTGTAATAAAAAGTATCTTAGGATGAGCAATCAATTATATGTGTATATATATATTCTATAATAATAAAAGTGTAATATGCTAATTAGACCGGACTGCCGAACAACCTTCAGGTTGTCCTTCTGGACAACCTTCCAGATGAGCCCCTTGCATGAATTTCGTGCATCAGACCTCTAGTGTGTGTGTGTGTGTGTGTGTGTGTGTGTGTGTGTGTGTTTGTGTACTCTCACCTGAGGATATATTTTTATTGATTTTGAGAGAGAGAGAGAAAACCATCAATGTGAGAAATATTGATTAGTTGCCTCCTGAGTGTGCCCTGACTGGGGATCAAACTCACAAAGGTTGAACTAGCAACCTTTGGTATACCGGACAATGCTCCAACCAAATACACAACCCAACCAGGGCTATATATAGTTTTAAATATTTACAACTTATATCCCAAGGAAACATGTAAGCAAAAATTAGGTCTTTTACTGTCCAGAGTAATGAAGTGCGAGGCATACTAGTACAAGAAGCACACAATAACTACTTTGAAAACCAATCTAAGTTCATTAGATTGGAGATCATATTTCTATTTTTATAGCAAAGAAAAGTAAAACTTAAGACAAAATTAATCACTCAGTGTCACATCATTAGCCTCCCAAAGAGTCAGGACTGTGACACTGGTCTCTTGGTTCCATGGTAAGTGCTCTTGAACATATTTAAAGAGAAACCATTTTTAACTAATAACTTTTCATAAAGTTTTAACATATTTTTGAGTGATTCTATGGGTAAGTAGTTTCCAAATACAAAAATGGGTTACATTCCAATTCTTATTGATGAACTTTTCTTACTCTGAAAGAGATTACATTTAGTATTATTTAGGATAAACTTTGCATATTATTGAAGCTCATCAATTTATATTTCTCATGTTGTTTTTTTGCACATTTATTTAAAATATAAAGATGGGAGGAAATCTTACCTTCTTGATAGGCCCCATCTGCCATGACTAAATGAAGAATCTTGGCATAAAGATGCTGATGTTCATTTCCCAAAATATTCTGAGCTATTGTTGAACAAATCTCTATATTTTCATCTTCATCTTCATGAACAGCCTATACCAAATTTCCAAATATAAAGTAATATTTGAATATTATCTTTCTCTAATTGAATACTTTGTTAATCTTTTACAATAAATTTACTTACCAATAAGAATCACTGATATTTCACTAGTAATTCAAACAGAGCATATTTCAAAATTAAATGTTTTAACTGACATTTCACTTACCTTTATTTTCTCATAAACTTCAAAGAACTTTTCAAAGCCTATTTCCTGCTCCAGATGAAGTCTCAGTTCCTCTAAATGGTTAAAGACACTGTCATATTCACACTCACTAGTTATCTCACCATCACTGTTATCTAAAAAACATTAAAAAGGTATTTTACAATTAAAAAAAAATATCAAATCTCTCTCTCTCCTCCCTCTCCCACCCTCTCCCTTTCTCCCCCTAAAAATAATGATAGTAAAAAATAGACTACTTTGTACTTTAAATATAAAGTTTTTGTCATTATATTTTTTTATTTATACAGGTAATCAATCCACATAAAACTGTCTTGATAAGAACATTACTCTGAACATCTTTTCTTTTGATAGAAATAAACAGTAAACTAGGATATAATAAAAGCTCCCCTAGAGATGTCATCAAATGTAGAAAAAAAAAAAGGGGGGGGAGAAAAAGCACACTCATATGTTCTGCATCATGGTGACTAACCCTAACTACTATTTTTTAAAAGTAGATATTAAACATGAGCCAAAATATTAACAAGCATACAAAAGGCAGACAACCTAAAATACATACCATAAAACTTTAGTAAAGCACCTAAAAAGTATTATAAATGCTCTGTATGTTTTATGCACTCCAAAGGTACTTTGAAAAATTCCAGTAAAAAAACAAAATTACTGAAGGATCATTTCTTTACACATTAGTTCTTCTTCCCAAATAAATGCAGTTATTGGAATACACAAATTTTCTTTATATCTTAGCGGTAATGCTATGAATAAAGAATAGTTTCTAAACCAAAGTTTAAAAAGCTGCTTTAGTCTTATCCCTTCTGGTTAACCACTATATGTAGAAACTCTTTGCAAAACATAAAATACTAAGAAAATTAAGGTATTATCTTTATTACTAAAGAAATAAATCAAGAAATAAATATTATTCTGTCAAGAAACAGAATAAAACTGCTTCAAAAAAGCATTTTCATAACTTTATGGGGGGAAAAAATGGAACAACTGTATATGTGCATTTGTGTGAAAAGAAAAAGAATAAATATAAGTCAGACAAAGAAGCATGCTTCAGTTTTATTTAAAACTGGAAATGGTTCAGCCTGACTGGTGTGACTCAGTGGTTGAGCCTCAACCTATGAACCAGGAAGTCATGGTTCAATTCCTGGTCAGGGCACATAGCCCGTTATTGGCTCAATCCCCTGTGGGGGGTGTGCAGGATGCAGCCAATCAATGATTCTCTCTCATCATCGATGTTTCTATCTCTCTCTCCCTCTTCCTTCCTTTCTGAAAACAATAAAAATATATTTAAAAAATAACAAAAAAACAAAACTGAAAATGGTTGGTATTAAATATCAGAAAAACATACTCTAGTTGAAATATGTGTACACACTGGAAAAGGAAAAGGCCCACCACAATCATGATCACATACCCGAGTGCCACTCTTCATTGAGAGCGCTTTCGCTGCTGGGATTGTCCTCCTCATCGGCTGGATCTGTCCCATTCACAGTCTGCTCTAGGTCACTGTTCTTCAGGACTGATTCTTCCTCCTCGCTATATTCCTCCCCAGGTTCTTCTCTGAGTAACTGCTCCATAGAGGCCTGAAGCTCTTGTAAATCTGTGTCAGTTTCTTCAAACACACTGAAATGTAAAAAACTAAACATTACTAAAGCCCACGTCTTTCTACTCAAACACTTCACACTCCAATATTTTTCTTTTATGTAATTTTGAAAGTTCAGCAAAATCTTGGTGTGGATGTATAATAATTGCACACTATACAAAAAGCTATCCATATAAACCCTCACTGGGCATCTGAACTCTTAGAAATGGAAATACTTAGGGAATTATATGTTTAGGTTAATTGGATGTTTTAGTAAACAAAATGGTAACCAGAAGCCTTATCTTCAGATGCTTATTCTTGAAAATATTTCTAAAGTATATAATAAGTAGACTTTATTGTAATTATAATACATTAACCATAATAATCTTATGTGGAGAATCTTGTTTACAAGAAATTGCTCAGGATATTAATTCTATTTTCATGAAAATATAGATGCTGAAATGAACTAATTTATGCAAATAGTATTATATATTTATATAGTACTTTAGTTATATCCTATTATTTAAATCTTATTCACACAAAACTCACTTAAGAGACATAGAAACTATTATATGAATCAAAGTGTTTAAATGATTTATTTAAGGCCACACAGTCAATAAATGACAATTATAGGACTGAAACCTAGGTCCTCCGATCACTTCTATAATATCCCCAAAATGTACTCACACTCACAACGTTCTCTCTCCTATGATTTGCTTCTTTCTCCTAAAGTGGCATGTAAATAGGTTAATGCCTTTCCTAAAGTTTACAATCCAAATAGACAAATGTTCACTGAAGAACTAAAATATCAACAATATTATGTGAGACAGTGAATAAAATTTCCATTAACAGAAAAAGAAAATAATCTTTTAATGTAGAAATATCTTTATTATGTACTTAGGTGTACAAACTCCTACACTTAGACTTTGTAGTAGCTATAGAAAAGCAAAGCATCTATGAGGAAGAGAGTATCTAATTTTTTTGGATCGTCCTACTAGTAACATTTAGCTTACTACATTTAATTACAAAAGTATTATAACAGTCACATCTGCTATGTACCATTATCACAATGACTGAACACTGATGTATGGATAAAACCTTCGAGTGGCCGCCAGACTAGAGGAATTAATGGCCTCCATAATGGTGGTAAAATAAGCAGGACTGCTAAGTCTGCCATTGCAAGGAAAAGTGAGATTGTGATGTGAAATGAACATTTTAAAATGCGTTTCAGGTAATTCAAAACCTGGTCCCAAATTCACCTTTTAGTAGGCTTTCTTATTAGTCAATTTTGAATAAAGTTTGGATTTAAATAAATTAATTTTTCCCCAAAGAAAACATCAAGTGAAATTTCCTGTATAGATATGGAGTAACTTACTTTAAAAAATAACTTAGTTTTCAAATTTTAAAAAAATCATGTTAAAGGCTTCTAAGTTAAATTTTAAAATAAAATTATAATCAACTAGTAATTAAAAGAACATAAGCCACAAATAAATGATAGTTCCTTCAGATAAAATCAGATGACTTTATAAAAACTGAGGAAAAAACTGCTACCTTGCACTTTGTCAACCATAAAGATGCTGAAATATGTCCTCCAACAAGCGTAATAAAAATATAGTTAAAATGCTTAATGACCAGAGGTAAGCAGAAGAAAACAAAGATAAAAGGTAACTTTTCCTCTAAATTTTGAGGGTACCAGCAAAATTCTATAGAACTCCTTAAGAATTTTTTAAAAAGGCAGAATTTAAGAGATAAAATTTGGTTAGAGATTTAAGAAGGGGTAAGACTTAAGAAAAACAAAGAGGAAAATAAAATATTGCAGATAAAGTAACCCTGCTCAAATATTATAGGAGGGGAAATGATAAGACTGATACAATGCTTTCAATCAGAACAAAACACCAGTTCTTTCTATTGAATGGCAAAGATGAAAAAGGAGAAAATTAATTTAAAAAATCAGAAAAGAAATCATACCACTTCTAATATTTTGAATGTATTTCCTGGTGACTTAAATACACTGTATCTTCTCAAACACTTTATTCCAGTGTGTCCTGGTTTTATTTCCCCCCAAAATTTGTAACACTTATCTGGGGGTGAGATGGCTGACTGATATCGAAGAATGTGAAGCAGGATTACTGTCTAAAGGGCCATCACTTTCAACCATTCTCAGAAGTATTGGTTAAATGACCCTGCTAGATTTTTAGATTCCCTATAAATCATGAAGAAAGAAATTTTGTGAAAGCAATTAAGTTACTTACATGTAGAACACACAAGTAAGCAAGTGCACACACACAACCAAACAACTATCCCACCCACTAACTCCTCACTACCATGGTTTTGAAATCATTCCCATTAGGAGATAGATGAGGATGGAGCTTTCTGGTCACTTCCTGGGGAATTGTAGTATAGTAAGTAAGCACTTCACAAATCCCCACTACAACTCCTATATCATGTGGTGTTGCACTATTTAACAGTCATTATTCTGCTAACATTCATTCACTTAATATTTATTAAGCACCTACCAGGTGCAAACCATTATGCTGGATGCTAAGTGGTGAATAAGACAGAGAACACCAGGAGAAACCATTTTCTTATATTCTCCATGTGAGAATAAGTCATACTATATTGAAGCAGAAAAACATATAAAAATTTGCATGATTGTAGCTGAAATATGCTGTAAAAAGCTAAAGGAGTAGTGAAAAGTTAGCTAAAGATCATTTTTAGAAAGTGTCTAGGTAAGTTACCATCTCTAGGACATTTATAAACTCAGAAATGCTGTTAGTGTTACTATCTATTAATCACTTCGCACTCACATGTCTTCAGAATCAGAAGGTCCTTCTTTAATGTGCTCGTCTTCAATGTCATCCATTTCAAGGTTGTCTTGCCGGACATCTCCTACCGTGGGGACATCCATCAGTGTTCTGAAAAGCTTTGAGAGATCTGGAAGTGAACACGTCCTCAACATCTAAGAAAAGGCAACAGATTTCTTATCAGGAGTATGATTAGAAAATAAAAACAAAAAATTATAAAATGAGAGCCAAAGATAATTTTATTTATATTTATATATATATATATATATATATATATATATATATATATATATATATATATATATATATATCTATCTATCTCACTTGGCCAAGATGAGAATTCTTTTGAATTTCAGTGAGGAAACTAAACTTGGAGTTATGTTCGGGATTCAACACATAGGTTTCAACATAAGGACACCTTTAAAAAGTAGGGAGAGGTGTTTATTTGGGATATACTCAGAGCATGGAACTGGAAATCTGTCAGGAATCAGGCATTGCTAGAAACCGGGAGTCTGCTCCTTCTCACTCGTGGTCCATATTGTGCCTTCATGGTATCTCTGCCAAGTCTTCCTTTACTTTCCTATGACCAACCCTCTATATAAATATATATAGGGTGTCCCCCCCAAAAGTATAAACACACTTTGAATAATTATAAAGGCATTATTTATTAAAGTAATTTCCTTTTCAAAATTGAGCAATCAGCTATTAAGTGTGCATACATTTTTTGGAGACACCTGTATTTTTTCCCAGATCTTAAAAGTTAATCTGAAGTATGGCTAAGCACCATTACACGTAATTGATGGCTCTTTGTACCACTTTATCACTAGGAGTTGCTGGCTAGCCAACAATGGTTAAATCAGGGGCCTCAAGTTAGTGGGGGGAGAAAAGGGGAGGCAAAGTCCTAGCCGGTTTGACTCAGTGGAAAGAGCGTTGGCCTGGGGACTGAGAGGTCTCGGGTTCGATTCCAATCAAGGGCATGTACCTCTGTGGCAACCTCGATCCCAAGCCCTGGTCCAGGTGTGTGTGAGGGCAACCAATCAACATGTCTCTCACACACTGGTGTTTTTCTCTCTCTTTTCCACTGTCTAAAAAATCAAAGGAAAAATATCCTCAGGTGAGGATTAACAACAACAAAAAAGCCTAACAATGCTACATGAATAATGGGCTGTGGGTGGAGCCTTTCCCACCTTTGGAAGGCTAAGGACACTTCCATGTTCATGCTAAAAATCCTTGGTAGCAACAGGTGAGAAGGAACTCAGCAAACCCAGCTAAGGAAAAACCCTGCATATAGTTGAGGTGTTTACAATTTGACTTTTTTGTTGGATAAGACTAGGAATATGAGGAATGGCTTTTGTCCACTAACTTTCAACCATTAGAATGTCAATGGACAGACAGGGCTACAAAACAAGTATGTGGTATAGTATAAGTCTCAGGGTTGGATTAATCCAATGGTCAGCAAACTCATTAGTCAACAGAGCCAAATATCAAAGTGCAATGATTGAAATTTCTTTTGAGAGTCAAATTTTTTAAACTTAAACTTCTTCTAACGCTACATCTCAAAACAGACTCTCCCAGGCCATGGTATTTTGTGGAAGAGCCACACTCAATGGGCCAAAGAACCACATGTGGCTCGCGAGCCGCAGTTTGCCGACCACTGGGTTAACCCTAAGGACTCTGTGAGATCTGAAACATGACTCCCAAGGCCCTGATTAATAGCATATACACCAGATGGGAGACTGTGAAAACACAACATTTAGCATATTAATGAAAATTTATCTACTTGGCCAATTTTATTGGTACAATCTGTTTTTCAGAATAAAAAAGATAAATTTCCATTATTGGAACATAATTTACATTTAAAGCACTGAAGAGGAAAAAATGATTTCAATCAGCAAGATGATTAAGATACACTGCTTGTTAAAGCATTTAATAGAATTTCTTTTGCTGAATCTCTCACTGTCAGCAGAATTTATCCTTGACTTATTTATAATTCTCACATTACCCTCCCTATCACCTCCTCTCATGCTTTCATCCCCAATGTCTGTGTCCATTGGTTAGGCTTATATACATACATACAAGTCCTTTGGTTGATCTCTCCCCCTTAACTTTCCCCTCCCCTACCTTCCCTCTGAGGTTTACTGGTCTGATTGATGTTTCTCTGTCTCTGGATCTATTTTTGTTCAACAGTTTATGTTGTTCATTATATTCCATAAATGAGATCATGTGATATTTATCTTTCTCTGACTGGCTGATTTCACTTAGCATAATGCTCTCCAGTTCCATCCATGCTGTTGCAAATGGAAAGCAGTTCTTTTTTTACCGCAGCATAGTGTTCCATTGTATAGATGAACCACAGTTTTTAATCCACTCATCTGCTGATGGGCACTTAGGCTGTTTCCAAATCTTAGCTATGGTAAATTCTGTTGCTATGAACATAGGGGTGCATATATCTTTTCTAATTGGTGTTTCTATAGTTTCTTGGGATAAAAAAAAAATGCCATTTTTGTAGTATTATTATTTGTAATCATTTTATAATATATATTATATAGAAAAGCGGGTGAAAACACAACTATGCATATATTCTATTTTGGTAAATAGTTATATATAAAATTATATATATTAAAGGTAACATAAAATGATATGTAATTTCTTTATTTCTATTTTTAAATTCTTTATAGAGATAATGCTCTATTTTCTTATCAAGAAAAAATTGGTTACATTTTTAGCAAGTGAGAAAAGACAAGATGTCTGAAAAACTTAGAAAGTGCATATGAACATCTATTAATCTTTCTATGTACAAATTAGGCAATATGCTATTTCTATCCATTTAAAATACATTGCTTAAACTTAGTCTCATACCAACATTGGAAGTTGAGTTGGGTAGTGGGGAAGAAAGATAATGTAAGAGGGATCTTTTGCTAAGTAAAAGAAAACCCTATAAAAAGAACCTTGAACAGGGAGCCAATAGAAGTCTTTGTCCTGATTGTTTTCAGGATCTCAGATGATAAAATGGGAGTTTCTTTGTTGTTTCTGTAAGTTGTTTTGATGTATGTCTGAGTATATGTGCTTGTGTTTTTAAGGGATCAAAACTCAATATTATAGTTTACCAAAGAAAAACACTCCATAAAAATGTTATCAAATGAATAACATTTTCCATGTGAGGAGCATACTTGCCTTTGGGTTGTTTGCATCGAATAAACCAGTTGAAAGTCCAATGAGCAAGGAATTCTTGTTTTTCTTTTTTGGTGGTGAACCAGAGCGAGATCGAAGTGGAAAGGATTCTTCTGGTGAATACAGTATGGACTGAATTTGAGAGACTACATTCAAATGTTCTGGGTGAATCACTTTATGGAAAAATGGTTCTGGTTGCATAGATTTATCTACATCACATTTAGAGTGCGGAGAATCACCTATTCCAGGTTCTGTGGTGTAAAGCAAAAATATGTGATAAACTTATATAGCACTTAAATAAAATTTCCAAGTTATATTGATAAGACACAATATTTAACACAAGTTCTAGCAAAAAAACCTTCATGTCTACCAGAAAAACAAAATCAAAATATATACAGTAGTCCTCACTTAATGTTGCCAATAGGTTCTGCAACTTTAACTGAAATGACATATAACAAAATCAATTTTACAAGAGGCTAATTGAGATAAACAACAGTAAGTTCATACTATGTCTCATCAATGTTATAAAGAAATGACTTTGAACAAAATAATGCTATTAGAGGACCTGCTGTATGTAATTGTACTATCTTATAAATAATCTTTAACAGGATATAATGTCTCATTTTCAGAAAAAAGATTTAATGTTATACACTTCCATCACATTGGAAACTCTGAAATGTACACACAGATGCAAGAAAATATGAAGAAACACTGTTTGGACACATATTTAATTTCAGTTTATCTTTATTCCTGTAAGTTAGATAGAAAAAAAGTATGCTTTTTATATTTTAATTAATACTATTGAAAATAAGACAACTAATGACTGTTCTTAGTACTGCCTTAGTTTTGAGAAGCAATTCTTTTTATTTTGAACATTTAATAAAATAACTGACCTAAAGTTTTATTGCTCACACTATCAAGCAATCCAGGCTTATAAATGCAGAGTCCAGTGCTCTATGTCTATTACATTTTTTAAGCGATTGAGGTGACTGATAAGGAATAGTTTCTATTAATATATTATCCAAATAAACAGGTTAGTGTTCACAACCTTCCAGAATGTAATTAGACCAACACAAGGATGCTTACCTATATGAACTTCATTAAGTTGATCCACCTTCCTTAAGATTCCTTCTTCAGAAACTTCATTTTGCTGAATAGTGATCCTATCTTCTAATCTGTCACATATAGGCATACCAGTTTAAAAACACACACACACACACAAAAAAAAACTTCACAGTTTACTAGAAATAGCATGCTCAAATATAAAAAAACAGAACTCAAGTTCACTGGCATGCTGTGATTCCTCTTCTAAATATTTTTCTCATTTATACGTATACTTCCTCTCATAAGCACAATATGTTTTTTACTCCGTTCAAACCTTCACCAATCATAATCATTCACAAAACCTCCCTCACCATTTCTTATAACAGCTGAAAATCTCTTACACTAGAAGAAGAATATATTCCAAAAGGTAGCAATAATCTATCTCTGGGTTTGGTTCATAGGCAGTTTGTTTGTTTTTCTTAATACTTTTTTATCTATTTCAAATTTAAGTAGTTTTTACTTTTTTAGTTATAAATTTTGAACAATTTTCTATTTTTACTTTATTAAATATTCATTTTTAATCATAGAAGTAATATATTTCTTCATTCAAAATGTAGTATTCCTTGGTTCCTCAAAAAGATAAACACAGGATTATTATATGCTGCAGAAATTCCACTCCCAAGTATACAATGTATTAAAAATTACTGAATTGTACATTTTAAAATAGTTAAAATGATACATTTTATGTTATATAAATTTACCTCAATTTAAAAAAAGTAGTATTTCTTTTAGGACACCCCTAACCACACAAATCCTAGTTTCCTGTGCTACTATCAATTTGGTGGACATATGACCATACTTTTCCTTTAAAATTACATATATTCTACATATATAATGATTTTACATAGAATTATATTTTCTAGTATATGGAAATGTTTTATTCAATATAAATTTGTTTCATTAATCACTCAATATTTTAGACCTATTCCATATAAACAGAACTCACAGAGAATAGAAGTGAAACAAACATTTGAAAAGGTATGTTTTATAAGAGAGATAAACTAAAACCCTAAGCCATGATACTAACAGATTGGCAGAAATAAAAACTCTGATAATAAAAGATTAGCAAGGCTGTGGGGAAAATAAGACGTTTTGTAGATTTTTTTTTTCTGAAAGCATAAATAAGTACAACCTTTGGGGAGAACAATAATTGAATTACAAGTGCAATTTATAAAAATGGAATTGACCTATTATATAATTACACAGCTATGTATCTATCCTATAGATATATTTACATTCATGTAAAATAACTTTATTAAAAGGTAATACATTGTAGCATGTAATATGAATCCATAAAGGACTCTGAGTTGTGATTTATCCATATAATGAAATACCAAGTAGTCATAAAATAGAGAAAGCACTGTATGTATTAATATGAAAAAAATTCCTGGATTACTGACTAAAAATATAAAAGGTTGAAAATACTGTGTACATTAATATTAACAACTATATTTAAAAGGAAGGTGGACTATATATTTGTTTTTGCTTATGCACATATTAAAATACCTGGAAGGAGGAGAGAGTGGGAATTTGCTGGATGGGGATAGCAGTGGAAAGATACTTCTTACTGTATATCTTTATATATTTGTTGATTTCTGAAGATAATGTCTAAAATTAAATTACTTTAAAAAGGTATAGGATATAGGGTAATATTAGATTATGACAGTATTTTTTTAAAACTGTATTTTTATTCATTTCAGAGAGGAAGGGAGAGAGAGACAGAGATATAAACATCAATGATGAGAGAGAATCATTGATCGGCTGCCTCCTGCATGCTCCACACTGGGGACTCTGCAACCCAGGCATGTGCCCTGACTGGGAATTGAACCAAACCTCCGGATTCATAGGCAGACACTCAACCACTGAGTCATGTTGACTGGGCCATAATAGTATTTCTTAGAAGGGAATGATAGCCCCGACAGCGTGGCTCAGTGGTTGAACATCTACCTATGAACCAGAAGTCATGGTTTAATTCCCGGTCAGGGCATATGCCTGGGTTGTGGGCCAATCTCCAGTGTGGGGCATGCAGGAGGCAGCCGATCAATGATTCTTTCTCATCAATGATGCTTCTATCTTTCTCTTCCTCTCTTTTCCTTTCTAAAATAAAAAACAACAACAACATATTTTTTAAAAAAGGAATTACAAAAATGGGATCCAGGTTTTATATACAAGAAAAAAGAGGTAACATACTCAGTTTCCTTTGTTTCCTTATTCTCACTAATCCATACGTCAGTGACAGGGAAAGGTAAGCCATCATCTTTCTTTGTTCCACATGGCTCTTCTAGAATTTCTGTTTCCAAATCATCAGGTTCTGAAAGCAAAGGCATAATGAAAAATGTCTCAAAGCAAAATGAGTTTAGAGAAAATGGAATAAATTTCTATAAATTATCATTACCTAATTTTTAGGCTAATATATTAATGATAACAGGGAAAAGTATTGTGTTAACTCTAGTTCGGCTGCCTTTGAAATGATAGATTTTTCTTTTTGCATTTTTCATTGCAATAAAAATACTACAAACAAATATTGCACACTGTATTTTTATTAGTATATAAAATTTTCTCTTACTTAAAATTTCAGTAATATAAACTTTGCTTTTAAAGAAGGTATAAAAAGTTTTAAAATAATAATATCTGTGGTTAGAAACAAGGGAGAAAAATAGACTGTAATATCATGGATTAATAACTGACAGGGAAGTTTAATCACCAAAATCTATCTTCGAATTCCCCCCTCCCTCAAAAAAATCTTATTACCTAAACTTTTACAGTGATATTAAGAACATAATTGAAGTACACTAAATCTAATTTCCTAGACCTTCAAACAATTAATAACCAGGGTACTACCTCTATTTTCTGGCAGTGGCTCATTTTTTACCTGGTTAGTATTTTCTGAAAATAAACAATAATGAGAAGAGTTTTTCTTCTTCCTTTGTTAACTCCTCTCCAATTCTGATACCAATGCTATCTTATTAAAGCCAGCAGCATCCTCTTTTTCCCTAAAATTCAAATACTCTTTCTAGATTTAAAAAGTTTCCAATTAGCAGGCCTACTTAGAAATATAATTTATATTGTATCAATCCTTAAAGTTATCTTTTATTCAAATTACTTTTGGGGGTTACTCATATAATAAGGTAAGCATTTGATGGAAAAAAATTTTTAAAAATATATTTTATTGATTTTTTACAGAGAGAAGGAAAGAGGGATAGAGAGCTAGAAATGTCAACGAGAGAGAAACATCGACCAGCTGCCTCTTGCACACCCCCTACTGGGGATGTGCCCACAACCAATGTACATGCCCTTGACCGGAATCGAACCCGGGACCCTTCAGTCTGCAGACCGGCGCTCTACCACTGAGCCAAACTGGCTTCGGCTGATGGAAAATCTTTTTTATTTTTTCTTTTCTTTTCTTTTTTTTTTTAATATGATTTTTTACAGAGAGGAAGGAAGAGGGATAGAGAGTTAGAAACATCGATGAGAGAGTCATCGATCAGCTGCCTCTTGCACATCCCCCACTGGGTGCCCACAACCAATGTACATGCCCTTCACCGGAATTGAACCCGAGACCTTTCAGTCCGCAAGCTCTATCCACTAAGTCAAATCGGTTTCGGCTTTATTTACTTTTTCATGAACAATTGTTCTGTAGCACCTTAATCGTATAAATATGACTCATTTTACAAAATAGATTTGTGATTGTATTGCTTGCTAAGTCTAAAATATTTACCATGTGTCTCTTTTTAGAAAGTTTGCTGCCTCTTGCACTAGGCTATATAGCCTCTATCCTATGCCTAAAAGTGTTTTTTTAAATAAACCGCTTATGATAGCTACTAACTATGATTCTAATGAATAAGAATATTTATTGTGGTGAATTAAAAGTAGTCACACATACAGCAAGTCTCTGACATCTGTGTCATCTAGAAAGGGGCCTCTTTCTCCCTTCCCCTTGAATTTGGCCCAGTGCTATGATGGTCTTGATCAAATGAGTATGACTGAAATGTTGTTATGACTGATCTAGATCTAGCCTTTAAGAGAACTTGCATTGTCCACCTTGGAATCTGGAAGCCAAAGCCACCCTAAAAGAAGCTTAACTATTCAGAAAAGACTGAATGGCAAGGCCATGAGACTAAAATGAAAAAAAGTAACCCAGTTGAGCAGGCCCAGCTGAGCCCTGCCAGGAAAGGGAGCGACATCATCTTGCACCCCAGATAAGCCCAGCTGACAGAGGAAAACCCGAGTGATGCCAGCAATTATTCTTCTCTGGCAATTAAGGGTTTGTCCACATGACAGAGAAGGATCTTCCCAATTCCTAACACACAAAAGTGTACGATAACATGTAACAGTCATTTAAGCCACTAAGTTTTAAGACTAATTTGTTCTCCATGAATAGATAACTGAAACAGAATTTCTTATCTGAAAAATGGGTGCTGACATGACAAAAGCCTAAAACATGGGCACTGGCTTTTGGGACTGGGCAACAGGCAGAAGTTGAAAGGCTTCAGGGGGACAGTTGGTGAGAGACTGGCCAGTGAAAAAAAAGTTATTGGAGGCTAGAAAAAAAGGGGTTTCTTGTTATATAGTAGCAGAAATTTTGGTACTTGTGAAAATAAGAACAGAAAATATTCTTAACAAACTCAGTGATTAGTGAAGGAACTATCTTAAGCAGAATGTTAAAGTGCCAGCTACCTTTTCTAGGAGTCTCTGATAAAGTGCAAGATAGAGATTGACTGAAGAAAGAACTGTTTCGTTTATTTTTAGAGAATATTTATTATTGAGAATTTAGAGGAGAAAACCCAAAATAATTCCTTCTAGGCTACAAAAATTTATTGAGGAAGTCGTGGCCAAGAGTTTCATGGACAAATAAATTTGGTAAATGATAAATAGCACATCCCCTTCTTTGAGATTCATAGGCACATTAAAATATTAGAAACTTAAAAAAAGAAGAGATTAGATGAAACTGGTTTTGCTCAGTGGATAGAGTGTCGGTCTGCTGACTGAAGGGTCCCAGGTTCAATTCCCATCAGGGGCATGTACCTTGGTTTCGGGCATATCCCCAGTAGGGGGTGTGCAAGAGGCAGTTGATCGATGACTCTCTCTCATCAGTGTTTCTAACTCTCTATCCCTCTCCCTTCCTCTCTGTACAAAATCAATAATATATATATATATATTAAAAAAAAATAAAAGTCAATAAAATATATATATTTTTTTAAAGGGAAGAGATTATAGTATTATTCAATTAAATACAACTCATTTTGACCCCTTAACACATACCATCCACATTTCCTTCTGGTTTCAATGACATCAGTGGAGAAACCTCCCTAAACTTTGGACTGTTTGTCTCAACAGAAGAATCAACAGTTGATGGGTTCATTTCAAATGAAATACAATTTGCTTGTTCTTCTCCAGCAATTAAGGGTTTGTACTTCTCCCCTTCAGGAGAAATCTCTGAAACAATAAAAATGAAAAATCATGCTACATTTTCAAAGGTTTTTTTTTTTTTTTTTTTTTTTTTAACCAGTAACAGCATTTAGAGAAAAGTTAAAAATTGCATTCATATAACAGGTAATTACTGGTTAAGCTCTGTTGTATATGAGAAATTAGTAATTAATACCTTACTCCTCCCTTTCCACCTTGCAATGTCCAGTATTCATAGTCACAAACATTTTGCATTCTCTAAATATCTTTCCTGTTATATAAATCTTACTGCCACATGATGAATACTATTTGGTTTTCTAATATATAGTATATAACAGCTTCCAAACACAAAAGAAGAAAATTTAACTCTTTCATAAAATCATCTTTTCCCCCCCAAACATATGATTCTTCTCTTCTAAAATTCATCATTAAATCAATGTTAAATAGTTACATAATTTTTCTAGTAAATGTTATGCTAATCTATATTGTACAATATGATTAGATTTTCATTACGTACATTACCTTTCTTCTAAAGTTACCAATTGACTCATCTTTAAATGCAGTTGCTTTTTTAATTTAATTTTTCATCGGTAATTAACAGGAAAACAGTGCTACAGGACTCTCCTAATATGGTCAGGCACAGGAGATAATTGAGTCATTCCTTTTTTCCTCTTTAGAGAGATCTCTTAACTTCTTAATCTAATTGTATAAGCTGCCCTTCTGTTTGGGATTCTCTTTATTCTCAAGAGCAGGAATCTATTTCTTTCTTAGATTCTTTCTTCTTTTAATCCTTTTCCTTTTGCCTTACACCGTACATCCCGCCCATCCTCCCTTTCTTCCTTTTTGTTTAATCCCTCATTTTATTTATTTATTTATTTTTGTGGATAACGTCCTGTGGTAGCTTCCTAATATATGAAGGGTAAGTTTTTAGATGTTCTACTCTTGAAAAACATGTTCCTATCTAACACATAATTGAAACCACCTTGGTATATAATAGTAGGTTGAAAAGAGCCGAACTGGTTTGGCTCAACGGATAGAGCGTTGGTCTGTGGACTGAAAGGTCCCAGGTTCGATTCCGGTCAAGGGCATGTACATTGTTTGCGGGCACACCCCCAGTAGGAGGTGTGCAAGAGGCAGCTGGTTGATGTTTCTCTCTCATTGACGTTTCTATCTCTCTATCTCTCTCCTTTCCTCTCTGTGGAAAATCAATTTAAAAAAAAAAGAAAAGAATTTTCCCCTAGAATATTTATGAAATTCCCCTATTCTCTTCTAGTATTTCTGTTGAGGAATGTAATGAAATGAAAATTTTTATTCCAGATCACTTTTTAAAACAAATATACATTTTACTGATTTTTTACAGAGAGGAAGAGAGAGGGATAGAGAGTTAGAAACACCGATGAGAGAGAATCATCGACCAGCTGCCTCTTGCACACTCCCTACTGGGGATGTGCCTGCAACCAAGGAACATGCCCTTGACCAGAATCGAACCTGGGACCCTTAAGTCTGCAGGCTGACGGTCTATCCATTGAGCCAAACCACTTTCTTTATGAATTGAATTATCAAAACAGACTTTGTACTTTTCTCATTTATTTCAGACACCTCAGTTTGCTGAAGTACAATTTTAATCATGTCATCCTTTAGGTGTCAGACTAAAGTAGGAGAAAATGCAAACTCCTTGGCATTTTATATACCATTAAATATACACTGATATATGTACTCTGCCTCACCAGCCTCATCTCTTCCCACTCAAGTCTAACACTGGTCCTAAAATAACATATATGTTCTTTTAGCTAGCTGAATATATAATGTTCTCTTTCACATACAGTTTTTTGTACATATAACCTCTCATCCTTTGCCTCTCTCTTAGCTTTAACTTCTATTCATCTTTCAGGTTCTAATCAAGGTTTAGTACTTCCACATTATGCTAGCTCACCACATGTCTCCAAACCAGAAAGTGACATACTGAATTTTTCTGTTTATATCCCTTTTTCCCTCCCAGTAGGTTGACAATTGCTTTGAATAAAGCCTATACTGTGACTTGTTTAGCATATTCCTTAAAGTCCTGGAGAAATGCTTGGATGTGGTAAATATTCTCTTTTAATAAGATGGATTGGTTCAAAACATATATATTTTTCAATCCTCATCTGGTATGCTATAACTTCCTTGAATCTTTTATCATTTTCCTGTCAAATCCTTACACTCTTTGAACTTTATGTATATACCAGAGGCTTGATGCATGAATTCATGCACTGGTGTGGTCCCTTGGCTTGGCCAGTGATTGGGGCCAATCAGGGCCACCTAGCCCAGACCAGATAAGGGCAATGGGGGCCAGCTGACCAGGAAGAGGGGCCATGGGAGTTTGCCTCTGGGAACACACTGACCACCAGGGGGCAGCTCTGCATTAAGAATCTGCTCACTGGTGGTCAGTGCACATCATAGCTATTCTACTGGCCAGTCATCTGGTAATTTGGCTTAGGCTTTTCTATATAAAGACTAGAGTCCTAGTGCATGAAATTGTACTCAGGTACAGTCCCTAGGCCTAGCCTACGATCAGGGTCATCTTCCCCGGCTGCTGGCTGTCTGCAGCCGGCCCCACCCCCTGCCACCACCCACCCTGGTTCCCCATTTGCCATCTGGCAATGGGAACTGGAGTTGGTGGCGGGGGATGCACGTGGCACCAGGCCAAGGCCCCCACCCCACCAGTCGCCCCACACACAGAGGGTGACCCGTGGCGGAGGTTGGGCCAGCAAGCAGGTGGGAATGGCCGACCCCTCGGTCTCTCCCCCTGGCCAAGAGGCTCCCATTGCCAGATGGGATATCAAAGGCATAATCCATGAAAGAGATAATTAATAAACTGTGCTTCATTAAAAACTTTCCAAAAGAAATTAAAAACTTTCATTCTGTGAAAGACACTGTTGAGAATGAGAACACAAGTAAGACTGGGGAAAATTATTTGCAAAAGACATCTAAATATATAAAAGCCTAAATGACCAAACAACCGGTATACTGGTTGCTATGATGTCCACTGACCACCAGGGGACAGATGCTCAACATAGGAGCTGCCCCCTGGTGGTCAGTGTGCTCCCACAGCCAACCTCCTGCAGCCCCTCCCCCTGGCTGGCCAACCTCTAGTGGCCCTTCCCCGTGGCAAGCTAACCTGTGGCCCCTCGCCCCACCCGCTCCAGCCAGGCCAAGGGACCCCACCCATGCACGAATTGTGCACCAGGCCTCTGGTAAATACATAAAGGACTGTTAAACAAAATATATAAAGAACTCTTAGAACCAAACAGTAAGAAAACAAACAATACAATTAAGAAAAGGGCAAAAGCTGGCCAGTGTGGCTTAGTTATTTGGACTGTTGTCCCAAACACTGAAAGGTGGTAGTTCAATTTCTGGTCAGAGTACATACCCAGGTTTGTTAGTTCGTTTTTTTCATTAGATTCCACATATGAGGGAGATCATATGGTATTTGTCTTTCTCTGACTGGCTTATTTCACTTAGTATAATGATTCCCAGGGTTCCTTAAATGTACCACAGTTTTTAGTTTAATTTTTAACATTACTTCCAGTATAGAACAACAACTAGTTTATGCTTACCACTTGTAATTGTTGTGTTTTCCAATAGTTCTGTCTGCAGCTGTAGTTCAGCTTCTCCAAGTATCTTTAGGACAGAATCTGTTGGGCTTTTCCCCCAAACTCTTCTTGGAGATCCTCCAGGATCTAACTTAATAACCTCTCCCACTGTATTTCCTACAAGAAAATAATATGATTTCAATGAAATAACATAACACAGCATTACTAGAAGCCCACTGCACAGATTCGTGCACCAGTGGGGTCCCTCAACTTGGCCTGTGGGGATCGGGGCAAAACTGGCTCTCGAACATTCCCCAAAGGGTCCCAGATTGTAAAAGGGCACAGGCCAGGCTGAAGGACCCCACCAGTGTAAGATTTTTGGTTAATCTCTTCCCACCCTCCCCCTACTTCCCTCTGAGATTCATTAGTCTGTTCCACGTTTTCATGCTTATGATTTCAGCTCCTGCGTTGAGCATCTGCCCCCTGGTGGTCAGTGCATGTCATAACTACCGCTCTATCCACCAATCAGCCAGTTGCTTAGGCTTTTATATATACCAGAGGCCCAGAGCACAAATTTGTGCACCAGTGGGGTCCCTTGGCCTGGCTTGTGAGATCATGCCTAAACCAGCTCTCTGATATCCCCCTAAGGGTTCTGGATTGCAACAGGGTGCAGGCCAGGCTGAGAGACCCCAACAGTGCACAATTGGGGCTGGGGAGGTACACAGGAGGTTGGCCAACTGGGTAGGGACTACAGGAGGGCTCCAGAGTGTGTCTGCCCCATCTCACTCAATCCTGATCAGCTGGACCTCAGCAGGAAACTAACCTACCAGTTGGAGCGTCTGCCCCCTAGTGGTCAGTGCATGTCATAGTGAGCAGTTGAATGGCCTTAGCATATTAGTAGCATATTACATTTTGATTGGTTGAACAGATGACTGGATACTTAGCATATTAGACTCTTATTATATAAGACTAGTGGTCTGGTTTATGAAATTCATCCATGGAGGGATGTCCCTAAGCCCAGCCTGCACCCTCTTCAATCTGGGACTCCTTGGGGATGTCCGACTGCCAGCAGTCAGACATCCCTCTCACAATCCAGGACCACTGGCTTCGAACCACCATTTGCCTACCTGCCTGATCTCCCCTAACCACTCTGACCTGCTGGCCTGCTCACCCTCAAATGCCCTCCCCCTTCCACCGGCCTTCTCACCCCCAACTGCCCGCCCCTGCCAGCCTGCTTGCCCCCAACTGCCCCCTTGCACTGGCCTGATTGCTCCCAACTGCCTCCCCCCCTTGCTGGCCCGATCACCTCCAACTGCGCTGCCCGCCACACCCCTCCCACCAGCCTGCTTGCCCTCAACCACCTCTGCCTCAGTCCCGCCACCATGACTTTGTTCAGAAGGTCTCCCAGACTAATTAGCATATTACCCTTTTATTAGTATAAAAGACTAGTAGATAAGTCAGATTCATGGTCTTCTATTGCTTCATGAGAAATAAAGGTTGTATCACAAAGAGCATATGATGATGATGCTTAAGAAAAAACTTTTAGGAAATGAATGATGAATAAGAGAAGAGAAACAACTGACACAGTAATAAAAATATATCTATAATTACTTTTTAAATACTAAAGAATTAAACTGTAGTTTTAGGGACCATAAAAATAAAAAAATATATTATGTTTCTATTAAATTTTTACTTAAGAAAATAAAAAAAAGCAATTATTGGGAGAGCACAAAAAAGATAAAATATAAATGAATACTTTTTCTATGAATTTAATTGAATAGAAAACAAATCCTAAGCTAAAAGCACTTATGGATTAAAAGTAGAGAAAAGTATATATAAGAAATTTTGTTTTATTTTCTTATATATCTTAAGTAGGCAACTGACACTTTCTTTTTGACAATAATAATTTTGGGTAAACTTGAAAAATAAAATTTAGGAAAGTAAAAATATGGGAAATTATCTATTGAACTTTGAATTTTCAAAACGTTTGTTAATAATACATTTAGCACTTAGGTATTTAGCAGTAATAGATAGAATATAATTTCAAATAATATGGGGTTTAAATCATAAACTTTCAAAAGTACCCAATATTTACTGATACAAATTCTGTGTACTAGTTCCATGGTATTAAGCACCTGCAAATTAGCAAGTAATAATCAGTTTGTACAGTCAAAAAGATTACCAACAGGGAACCAATTTAAAATAAAAAGATGGCTGAAAAGAGTAGAGAACCCAAAAATAGACCTGTCACTCATAGCCACTCGGTGTTTGACAAAGATGCCAAAGCAATGTGATCTGTGTTGGGTCTCTTTAACAAAGGAAACTAAAAACTGGATGTTCAGATGGAAATGTAGACTTCACACCCTTCGATGCAGGGAGGGAAAACCAGGTGGTCTCTCTGAGCAGAAGTGGCGGAACTGGAAGTCTAGGGTGGCAAAAGTGGCTTACGTTGGCAAGAAGAGTGCTGAAGAGTAGAAAACTACACAAACAGAGAATTCAGGAGAACTATAGAGAGTCCTTTCGAGTCTGAAGCTGAATAATGACCAGCACATGTGTGAGGAAATTACTGCAGTCTAGAAAAAGACCACCCGAAAGGAGTAGTCCCTATTCCCACCAGCCAGAAAAGCAAATCTTATAATCTTCAAGGCATCAAGTACATTACTGAGAGAGGTTTCTGACTCAGTAAAGGGAGAAAAATTAGCTACAGACTAAACATTGTTTTGGCTCCATCTAACAAAGCTTAAAAGCAAGACATAAAAGGGTCAAACGTTTTACAAGTGAATTGTGTCTCAGAACAAAAAGAACAAAAATATTTACAGAAACACAAAATATATAGCACCCATCAAAGGAAAATCAACTGCTTGGCCTCCAAACAATTTATCTAGCCTGTATAAAAAAGCAGCTGAATTCAACTTATATTAAATAGAAAAAAAGTCTATCAAAATCAACCCTCCAAAATGATAGAGATGATGTTATGAATAGATAGGGACATTTATAACTGTCATTATGACTGAATTCCATATGTTCCACAAACTAGGGACAAGTCTGCTGATGATACTCACAGATAAGGAAAACACTAACAAGATCCATATTGAACATCTAGAAAGGCGTATTGATAAATATAATGGCAAACAAATCTGATGAAAACGATATACTCACAAATCCAAGAACCTCAACAAAACCCAAGTAAAAGAAACATGAAGAAAAATGACATAAAGGTATGCCATAATCAAATTTACTAAAACCAAAGCTTAGTGAGAAAATTTAAAAAACATTGAGAAGAAATAAGACATATTAATACTAAGAATGAAGACTAAGAATAAGAGAAAAAGAAAGAGCTTGGCATGTTTTAAGAAGTGAGAAGTAGGTAGGTAGAAAGGTCAATAGGCAAGGGAAAATCTTAGGAGAGCCTAATGGACTATGAAAGGGACTTTGGATTTTTGTTCTAATTGCCATGGAAATCACTTGTTTTAAAATGGGAGAATGATGTGATATAATTAGCATCTAATTTGATGTAATTAGCATAAAATATTTTCAAGTCTCTTTTTTCATAAAGTTTCACTGACTCTAAATTGCTACCAAGTAACATCAACCTATATATCTAATGTCCTTCATAGCTCAGCTTCCTTAAAAGGTTCTAATTTTTTTTTTAATTTAATGTCTAAAGATTTACATATGCCTCCCTTTTCTCTGACTTCCACCACAGCCATTCCCACCCTTGGCAAGCCTCCGCCACCCTAATGCCTGTGTCCATTGGTTAATTTTTTTTTTTTTTTTAAATTTCCTCACCTTCCATTTGCTTCTTAATTCCTAGGTTCTATTTCTGCCCCTGGCACTCTAATGACACAGCTGTTATCAAGATCACAATGCCTTTTCCTGGGCAAAACTAGTGTAAATTTTTTAGCCCTCAATTTGTCATCACTCTTTCTGAAGTCTTCTCTTCTTCCTTGTAATCCAGGCCACAATCTGAATTTTCCTAACTCTAAATGTGCCTCATTTTGTTTTCAAAGCTTTTATTCCTCTGACAAACTCCTAGAAGAGTTTCACATAAAGCCCTTATAGTCCTGTCTCCAAATATATCTTACATGTGTCCTCTTTTATTTATCATCTTTCAGCAACTTAGTGAAAATTATCAACTCTTTTGTCCATATTAGTACAAAGCCTCTAGAAAATGGTATCAAGGACTTTTTAATCCTGAGTAAGATGAAATCGGATACTGGATTGTGCCATTGCCTAAATAATCAAAACTATTGAGAAAAATATCTAAAACAACAACTTCAAGACACATCATCAAAAAATGCCATGTTATATAGAGAGGCACAAAGATAAAGATAAGAATCAGATTTTTAGTCAGAAACTGTGCAAGTTAGAAGACAATGGAGCAACATCTTTAAAGTACTGTGTGTGTGAGGGGGGCGGGGAGCTGTGAAAGCATGAGGAGAAATCCCGCAGCATGGGAATGTTCACTTTTCTATCTACGTACCTTCGTGCTGTTTTAGTGTTTAACAATAAACATTATTTTTATAAATTCAAAAATAATTTTTTTTAAAAAAGTTTAAAGCACCAAGGATAAACATGGGTCCTGCCCTCTAAGGACTCTTACCTTGTAAAATTATAGGAGATAGTCAATCACCAGATCATCCAAGATTAAAATGCCCTAATCTTCAAAGGGTAAGAGATCCTTCTTTTTTTTAAAGCTGCATAGTATTCCATTGTGTACATGTACCACATCTCTTTTTCTTTTTTTTTTTTTTTAAATATATTTTATTGATTTTTTTTACAGAGAGGAAGGGAGAGGGATAGAGAGTTAGAAACATCAATGAGAGAGAAACATTGATCAGCTGCCTCCTGCACACTCCCTATTGGGGATGTGCCCGCAACCACGGTACATGCCCTTGACCGAAATTAAATCCGAGACCCTTCAGTCCGCAGGCTGACGCTCTATCCACTGAGCCAAACCAGTTTTGGCAACACATCTCTTTTGCTACTCTTACCCTTTGAGACAGCATGGAGGGACCTGGAGAGTATTATGCTAAGCAAAATAAGCCAGTCAGAGAAAGATAAGTATCACATGATCTCACTCATATGTGGAATCTAATGAACAAAGTAAACTGATGGACAAAATAGATCCAGAGACATAAAAGTATGGGACAGACTGTGGAATCTCAGAGGGAAAACAGGGGTGAGTGGGTCAAAGAACTTGTATGCATATATGCATAACCCATGGACAGATACGATAGGGTAGTGAAGGTCTGGGGTGGGAGATAGGAAGCATGCTAGACGGGGTCAATGGGAGAAAAAGGGAAACATATGTAATACTTTCAACAATAAATTTTTTTTTTAAAGAACTGTTAAAATAAGTAAGCAAATGCTGTGGAATCTTTGGGCTTTTCTCCAATAAAGAATTCTACAAAAAGTCCATTAAAAAAAAAATTAAAACTTTGGTTTGACAGGGGTAAGCCTCACTCTTTTAGAATGCAAGCTCCAAAGAGCACATATGACTTCATTCATTCACTGCTATATCTCTGTCTAGTGCCTAGAAGAGACAATAGTAGGTGCTCATAAATATTGTTGAATAAATATTTTATTAAATGAGATCTTCGTAATATCCCTGCTAAATGCCTAAGGGATTTTTCTGAGATTTCTGGCAATTTACTACTCTAGTTCTCATCAAGAATTATTCCTGAAACAGATTAGAAAGTGTTAAAGTAATACAATTTAAATAGTATATATCATTAGTCTCCCTTCTTACACTTTATACTCTTATAATAAAAATCCTTGCTATTCTTAAGGTTGAATAGATTTCCCCCTATGTTTCACATATAACCGTATATGAATTTCTTCCAGGTTCTTTCAATCCCTCTAAAGTGTTCTTTCCTTCAGAGAGTCCAGTCTACAAGTTTACATGTGTGCTATGCCAAAATAGGATAAAAACACTTTCATACATACTGTCAGTTGCAGAGAAGGATGCATCCAATGCAAACTCATCCAGAGGAATCACAAGTTGACCTCCTGCCTCCCACTTCTTGCGATCAGGTGAAATCAACTTTTCTTTTTCATGCTCTTCGGCATTTTCATGCACAATTACCTCATCCATATCAGGGTGACACTGCTTCCCTTTTTCATCTTCTTGAGCTTTAAGATTTTGATTTAATCTCCGTAGTATTTCTCGTTTATTCTGAAACAGTTAAAATGCTATATTTTATGATGTATATGATTAAGTGAAATTATTGAGAGAAAAAAAGGAAAATTGTACCTACTGAAATGGAATTGTTAGTTTTTTGCATTTCTTCTGAGGTTTCCAGGGTATCAGTTAAACTTCTGTCCTTTAAACAAAGATAGTTTCAGAGTAAGAAATAATGTTATTTAACATTCTACCTCAAAATTTGTTACTTTTTGTTTTTCATTAAATTGTTCCTTGTGAGTTATTTTATTCCTGTAAAAGTCCACACAACTTCCCACATTATCAGCAGTGAGAAATAATGAAATGTTATCAAGTAATAGATTAAATATATAGTAAAAGGGCCAATTCTCAATTACTTGTCATATTTTTGGATTACTGATTACCTATTTAACTATATCTTCTTCCTCTTTGGCACCTGGATTTTTTGGTAATTTTAAGTCAATAATAGAAATAAAAAGAAAATTGATTCATATAGGCTCTTAATTAGAGCTAAGGAAAGTTTTAATGAATAAAGTAATTCAAGATAGGCTGTGTAATTTTGAAGCTTTCTTTGTTTCATGTACATATGTATGCTTATTAAGCAATACTACTGAACATGATTGAGAACTGGCTTTTTTACCTAAGCAAAGAGAGTAACAACAGTGAGTTCTGAGCCCATGTAACAAGGATAATATAAAATCTATCTTTTGATTAGCAAAATCAAAGCAATCTTAGATACCTAGAATTTTCACATATATGAAAAGCAGAAATTAGTAGTTAGGGAAGCAAACTATATATGAAAGACTCAGAGTATGGAAGAGCAATTTTAAAAGAATAAGTAAGCAATATGTACTAAGAAAACACAAAGAAAAACCATTTAGTTACATGAATTACCTTAATTTGTAGTATTTGAGAAAAATACCAAAAAGTATAGTGGTCCGTTTTAAAGCAATACATGTAATGAGACAAAGAGTCTTTTACCCAGTACAGAAGTCAGGAATTAGCAGTCATTACAACCAGAGAGGTCACAGCTACTTGAGATGAGAGACTGGGTACCAGGAGGGAACCACACAGTGGTATCTAAAGTTGAAGTGAACAACGTAGCACATGCAAAGTCGTTATCAGAAAGAAGAGAGACTAATCCTACTTAAAGAAAAACTATGAAGGTTTTAAGAATGACTAGGAAACTTGTCTTTTCCTACTCAGTCTTATTTTCAAGACAAACTCAAAGGCTGTAAAAACTGGTGCACAATAACAACAGTGTTGTCTACAAAAATGTAATGAAACTGAGCAATTAAAAGGCACAGACATTAATTACCAGGAGAGGAGAAATCAGGTTAATGTGTTGTATTATATAGTTCAGGAGACTTTCCCCCTTCTGTCTGATGAATTCTAGACTGAAATTCCACATCATGAGCCCATTTCCCTTAAACACTGAACAGTTTTCATATTTCAGATGGATACCTGGCACATTCTTCAGAGCTTAAATTTTATACTCACTCTCATATCTGTGTTTTATTATCCATATGACATGACAGATTCAGAAATAGAAGGTAAAAGAAATAACACGCATTATTTGTAATTATACTGACTCCTCTAACATTTGCTATGCCAAAACAATGAAAATAAATGTCTTAAACTTTATTCCTAGAGTTAATTACTTTAAGTACCAAAGACATTATTTCTTTAAAAGTACACCTTTGTTAGTTATGAAAGCTGGGATGTAAAAATGTTTTTGCTTTATTTTTGGTACATTTATATATATATATTTTATTTGTTCAATATTATTTTAAAGTAAAAAAGGGAGAGAGAATCATTTTAAAATAGTTTTATCTACCAGGTGGTCCTACATATAAAACTTATGAGCAGCAAGGCTCCAGAATTCAGACTATAGCAGACACAAAAATCTTAGGTAATTTTATTCCTAGAAAAACCTAATGAAACATCAGAAATTAATATAACTTCATTAAGTGTAATCCTTTTAATAATCTTTTGAGTTTAAAGAGTTCTAAATTTTAGGAAACTTACCATTACCATACCCACTTCCTTCAAGGCTGAAGTCACAGAAATAACAGGTCTTATCTGATGCTTTGATGGCGAGCCACTTGTTTCATGCTGTCCCAAAGGAGGAGACATATCAGAACACTTTACTCCTTTAGACACCAACTATAATAAAGAATTTAAATACACACTGGAAATTTATATTTGCAGGAAGAGATAAAAGCTATATAAGATCACTGTTTGCTTATACATTCTATCTGCATATAATTTTTTTCATTCCTCAATTTTCATGATGTAGGCAATGTGTTAGGTCCTGAAAGATCATTGAATAAAGAGAAACATCTTAGGCCTCACATAAAAATATAATTATGTGTCATGTAGTACCAAATAATTTCTTAATACTTTATTAACAGTATTTCATTAAATGCTCTTAAAAACAAACTATCTTCTAAAAGACTAAATATTAGTCCTCTCACTTTAATACACTAAAACATTTCATGAGAAAGTAAACCATTTCATGGGAAGAAAAAGTATTTCTTAATCCTACACTTGAAAATGTTTCTGTAATTTGTGCAAGTTTGATACAATCTTCTAATAGTTTAACATCAATCACTGAATGCAAGAGCCCTCATTATAAAAATGTCAACATAAATGAGAATGGAAGAATTATATTATAAGTTCTGAATAAGATTTATGTCATTAAAATACCATTTGTTATATTCATATAAGTGTTCATTTTTACCTTGACACTTAAGACTCTAAACAATGCAAAGTTAGATTCTGAAACTTTAATAATACCAGGAAATGGCATTTTTAGGTATGGTAACATTAATTTTGGCAGCAATTCTGCTCCCTACTTTTATATCTTTTTCAAACCAATACACACAAATTTCTGGTGAGGATACATTTCACATGCAATATTCATTGAGTATCTTCTACGCATAAGGTAGTAATACAATTCTAATACTTAGTCTTCTGGGCTTTCATTTTATGCTAGTATATGTTGTTAAAGAAAAGACAGAAGTATCTAACATGGTATTGAAGGAAAAGAACAAAATTTGAGAAAAGACTTCAAGCCTTATTATAAAGCTACAGTAATCAAGACAATATGGTATTATTGTAAGAATAAACAAGAGATAAATGGAACAGAAAGAACTCAGAAATGGGCTCACAGCTGGTGAGCATAACAGCAGTGGTAGGAGCCTTTCCCACCCTCATGCAGCACTGAGGAGCAGCAAGCCCAGCAGTAAGGAGCCTGCCGCTAAGGAGCAGTGAGCCAAGCAGTAAGGAGCAAGCAGGTGGGCGGTAAGAAGCAAGGGATCCCGGACTATAAGAAGGATGTCTGACTGCCGGCTTAGGCCTTATATAATAAGAGCTATAAGGTCGGTGCACAAAATTTCATGCACTTGGGGGAAGGAGCTTCCTCAGCCTGGCCAGTGCCCTCTCACAGTCTGGGACCCTTTACTCCTTACCACCTGCCTGCAGCGGAGGTAGGAGAGGCTCCCACCCCTCCACTGCGCTCTCCAGCCAAGAGCCCAGCTTCTGGCTGAGCAGCACTCCTCCTGCGGGAGCACACTGACCACCAGGGGGCAGCTCCTGCATTGAGCGCCTGCCCATGGTGGTCAGTGCACATCATAGCAACCAGTCATTCTACCGTTCTGTCAATTTGCATATTAGGGTTTTATTATATAGGATCTAAAGCATCCACTCAGAGATGAATCACTGTTGGACATAATTTATAAAATGGTCTTGTTAAACTATAAAAACCTAAAGTGTGTGAGCACCTCTAGGTCCCTCCCCCACAGCCCACAGGCTCCTATCACAGCAAGGCTGGTGGCCAGCAGGCAGGCAGGGCAGCAGAGGGGTGGGCAGGGCGAGGTTATTAAGCCTAATGATCTCACTGCTGCTGCAGTGGTAGCGGATCAGGCCGGAAAGAGGCCAGGAGAGAGAGGCAGGGCCTTATCTGCAGCCACAATGGCTGCTAAAGGAGGTTGCAGATCAGACCCAGAGAGACAGGCAGGGCATGATCCATAGCTGCCACAGAGAGGCCCAGAGATAAGCCCGGAGATACTGACTGGTATAAAAACTGACCAATCAGAACCAAATCTGGGTGAACTGCAAAGGCAGAACCTAAGGTGGGCACTAAGGAGAGGTTTTAAGGGCAACAGCTGTTTGGTGTAAGGTGTAAGAAAGCAGTTCAATTTTTTAATAATCAGATTGGCAGTATAGTGCATATGGCTGGCTATCAGTCCAGATATAGGGATTGTGTATTTTGTCTTCCAAGAGCATCTCCTCCTGCTGAATCACCCCCTCCCCATTTAAGCAATTCTATACTATATAATTTATCTATACTATTAAAATGGTAATATGCAGCGTCGGTCTGCGGACTGAAAGGTCCCAGGTTCGATTCCAGTCAAAGGCATGTACATTGGTTGCGGGCACATCCCCAGTAGGGGGTGTGCAAGAGGCAGCTGGTTGATGTTTCTCTCTCATCGACGTTTCTAGCTCTCTATCCCTCTCCCTTCCTCTCTGTAAAAAATCAATAAAATATGTTTAAAAAATAAATAAAAAATAAAAATGAAATACTTTTAAAATGGTAATATGCTAATTAGCCATGGTGGAGAGGGCCAAGGCAGAGGCAGTTAGGGCGATTAGGCTGCCAGGAGAGGGCAGTTGGAAGTGAGATCAGGCCGGCAGGGCATTGTGGGTAATCAGGCCAGTAGGGGACGGCAGTTGGGGTAAAAAGGCCGGCAGGGAGGGCAGTTGGGGGTGATATCAGGCCAGGAGGGGAGGGCAGTTGGGGGCAACCAGGCCTGCATGAGAGGGCAGTTGGAGGCGACCTAACTAAGCTTAACATATGTTAAAAAGAAACAAGGGATAAACTCTACTAGAAATTAAAATATATTCTAAATTCATAATTAACAATACAATGTGGTATTGGTAAAATAGAGAAAGGATGGAGCAGAAAAAAGCATGACACATATTTGCTATGACACATATCTCTAATAGAATTTAACATATCTTAAAGGTAGCATTATAAACAGTGGAAATCGAAAGAAGGTGTAGCCAATATACAGTGCTGGGGCTTTGATTAGCAATAACAAAATAAATTAATTAATCAGGTTCTCACTTCAAATCAAACCCCAAAATAACAGATCATCCTTAAATAGGAGGGAGGGAGGGAGGGAGGGAGGGAGGGAGGGAGGGAGGGAGGGAGAGAGAGAGAGAGAGAGAGAGAGAGAGAGAGAACAATAAAGAGAAGAAGAGCAGGGAGGGGAGGAAGAAAGAGAACTAATGAGAATTTAAAAAAAATAGAGCTACAAAATTATAATTCTGACATACTATGCAGCAAGAGATACAAGCACATTAACATGACCAGGATTAAGAATGAGCTAAATCTTACATTATCTTCCCATGCTTTCTTTTCTCTCTCGTATGCTTCCTTTCTCTTCCGTTCCAATTGTTCTTTTAGTACAGCAGCACGTGCATTAGCTTGGGCCTAAAAATAAAAACAACAATATTAGTTACCAGGAGGAAGGGCATAAGAGTGTGTTTTTCAGGTCTATACAAATATTTACTTTTTAGCCAAAAAAGAAATGTGTGTGCGCACACGTGTCCCAGAATAAAAATGTAAGCTCACTCTATATTTCTAGCACCTAAACTAGGGCTCAACAAACAGCAGCTGCTCAATGCATGTTTGTTGACTGAAAATAAATGCAGGCCCACTCTACTGGAAATACAACTGTGAAAATTTTAAATGATAATTATTATACACGAACTTTATTATTTTTCACAGAAATGAACAATTACATTTTTCGTTTATAAGGTTACCATTTTTCCTTTTTAAGGTTAGCTATGTGATGATTTAATGTACTTATACCATGATTTCATTAAATTTATCTCCATAAATATGATATAAAGAGCGAAAAAGTGGTATTTCTTAGAAAACAAAAGTTGAGGGACAAAGGGAAAAGAAAAATTTAGGCAAGAGAATACAATAACTGGACTACAAAAGGCTTAACATAATTCTCTATCTAAGGTTTCAATTTTCTCTAAGAAAACCATTTCCAGTCTATACCTTAAGAGCTTCAACTCTTTTACGTCTCATGTCAGCCTCCTCACTTCCTTGTCCTTCAGAATTATCAGCTGCATTCTGTAAAATAAGTAGAGAAGCAAACCACTTAGGAAAGAACTTCAAATTAGGTGCAGAGAATATGAATAAACTAACATCTAACTATGTAAAATGGTAAATTGTTCAATGTTACTAATTTGTTCTCACAATTAATTCTTATGTACAACAAGGAAAAAAATAAGAAGAGAATGATAGAAAATGTAGCATTTAATAGGTCCATGAATACTATTTATATTTTCCTCTTAGAATTCTTCTGGAACAAATAAAAGGTATTATCAATTTTAAACAAGATATACTTTACCCCCTTTTAGAGTTTTCTGGTCTTTGACTTTCACTGTCTTGATCAGATTTTATGTTGCATTTTAAATCTTAACCTATTATAATGTCATTCAATTATGTTTTCTAAAATTGAATATCAACCTGCCTTTTCACCACGGAGTTTGGCTTTAATCTGTTGGCGCTCATTGAAATTCTGCAATCTTATTTGTCTCAGCCTCGCAAGATAAACCTATAAGGAGAAAAAAAAAAAAAAAACAACAACACATTTTAATTTAAAAGAAAAACTACCAACTTTTTTTTTTTTTTTTTTTTTTTACTGCTAAATCATTGTTAAATTAAAGGATTAATCTGAATACCACAAATAAAAGTTTCAAAATCTTAGCTTTTAATTTTTTAATTTAGATCAACTTATTTCTGGAAAAAAAAAATACATTGCAATTACAAATTTTTAACTTTATCAAAAGAAAAGAAATTGAACTCAGGATACCAAATAACAGTTATGGGGCAAAATTATGACACAGTATGTCAGTCAAAAAAAATATAAACAGGTCCCTATAGACCTACAAAAATCCTCAAATAATTGTTAAGCATTTAAACCATGCAGGAAAGGGAGGCGATCAACTCAAAAACGGCTGTGTGACGGAGGAAGCGAACATGCAGGAAGCATACCTCTTCCTCTTTGTTTCTTGGCTTCCCTCCTCTTGAAGAGCTGGACCTGCCTCCATACATAGCTGCCAGGTTTTGCAGGATTCCCTGTTCATCATTTAATGTACTAAGTTTAAAGAATAACTAAGGCTACATCAGCATCTTACCTAGGAATATCCAGGTGCCACTTTATTTCTTTTGGCTAATACTGGTCATTTATTTCTAGCTGATAAACTGAAAACAAACCCTGGTGTTTTCCTGTATCAGTTTAACCAACAGAGTCAGTGACAACAGAAGGAAGCAATTAAACTCCATAGATAATTATTTGAAACAGAGACCAGCTATGTTTTTATTAGCCATATAAGTAAACTGTTTTCCAAAAATGCGTTGGAGGTTAGCTGAACGCCAAATCAAAAATTTTCTCTACAAAGGGCCAATCATTTGTACATGTTTGTTTACATACTAAATACACAAACACAATACAAACTACTTGAGCTTAAATTTTTTGCACTCAGGCACGTCCTAACACTATACTACAAAGAATTATAGCCAATCACAAACTGATTCATTTTTAACATTGTTTATCATAAACATGATAATTACCTTATTAGAAATTAGTACCCTCCAATAAAAATATTATAGATTTAATTATCCATTTTCTCTTCCTTCAGCACATAATTGTGTTTCATGTTCCTCCTAATTTAAAAAAATCTTCAGTCTCACTTCCTCATCTAATGTCTTTTTATCAACTTGTTGAAAGTGTACTTTTTATGCTCATCACCTCCATTTTCCTGCCTGTCATTCCTCTTTTAACTTACTACAATCTGTTTCTGATCTCACTGTAACTGAAAATTTTCTAAGGTTACCAATGACCTCTAGTTCACAATTCAAATGAGTAGATTTGAATAGATTTTGCATTTAACATTTCCACTAGAAATTAGTTTGGGCTAAATCTACTCAATTTACATAAGCATTATTTTCTCTCATAAATATAATGTATGTTCACTGTATAAGATTTATAAAGTGAAGAAAATATAAATAATTTATAATTCTATTACCTGGCAGGCAAAATTTAAGAATATTTTTTTCCAAATTTTCTTCTTTGTATAATGCATGAATATACACACATTTATTTTTACAAAAATTAATGGAATTTTACTGTATTCTGATTTTTTTCACTTAGTATTAATTAACATTAATATTCTGAGTCTCTTTCAACATTCATTATCCTTAAAACATTATTCTTAACTGACTACATGATATGCACGATATTCCACTAAATAGTGAATTATAATTTACACATAAAAAAAAACAAAACCCTCTCTTCTCTTCAGTATTTAAAACAGCACTCTCTCCTGAGATCTTCCAATCTTCACAGGCTTTTCTCTTCTTGGCTCATTGCTAATGTCAATATTTTCTAGAGATTCATTCTTTGGCCCTTCTTTACTTTCTCATTCTCAGGCCTTAACATATGTTGCCAATTCCCAAATCTAAACCAACCTCACAGTCCTTTTCTCTTGACTAGTATACAATTGACATCTGGACAATGCTCTTATGTAGCAAAGGTTCTTCAAATTATTTATAGACCTGACTTCATCTTTCTTTTCACAACTTTATCTAATTCCCACCTCAGTTATTGATCACAGATGGATATCCAAGTCAGAAAGGTGGGAGTTACCTCTCTCTCTATTTTCTCTCTCTCTTGTCTCATCTGCCTAATATAAATGACTACCAAATACTAAATCTACCTTAAAATAACTCCATAATTTTTATCTCTAGCTTCCTAACTTATCATCTTACCTCTGATCACACCCCTCCCCGACCCCAACCCACTCTCCCAGTCTAGTCTCAATGGGCTCAGAGAAGCCTTTCTAATCTTCTCTTTCATGCTGAGCCCCACATAAATCTATTATTTTCAGAATATATTCCACTTTCTGTTGAATAGCAGATAAAACATCTCTAGTTTCATCTCCCAATCATAAAGCCTACATTCTAGCCATGACAACTACTTGTGGTTTTACACACTATCATCTCCTCATCATATCAAAATGGCTAACTCATCTTCCAAAATGCAAACCAAACTTCTCACCCCAGGAAAGCTTTACCCATGCCTCCTTCAGTGAGTTAAGTGTGACCTGCCACACCATTTTTTGTATATAACTCCCACAGTAGCACTCATCGGAGTGGTAGAAGGGCAATATTCTGTGACAGTTAAGACAATGGACTGTGATAAGCTGCGAAGTCTGGCAGTTCATGTATTTGTCAATGCCACCTAACCACTGCTGACCTTCAGCAAAATTACTTACTAGTAAACTTGCTGTAAGACTGGCATAATACTACTACCCAACTTCATGGGTGTGCCAGAACCAAAAATATTATTATGTGAGCATATTCTGCCTTCCCTCTCTGCTAGTCTGAAAAAAAAAAGGATTCTACCCACTCAGTTTCCTCCCCTCTTCAAGATATTGGCATTAGCTTGTCAGTTACTTGAACTTTGGGGATATAGACCATAGGGTGGGGGAGGTGAAGTGAGGAAAAACAAGGAATAGGCAAGGTGGTCAAAGATATGAGGTGAACTCTGAAAAGATATGTGGGAATTCCTACAGAATTACAGGAGAGTGGGTAGCAAACTGAATACTGGTATAGATTATATCTTCCTTTTGTGGTATTTGAAAAATATAAATAAAACATATCTGAGTTATTTTGAAGCAATCTTTTTAATATTTTAGTTTGAAATATTAAAGGTGAAAAGTACAGGGATGTTCTGTACATCTTTTATCCAGCTTCCCCCAATTTTATTGTCTTGCATCACTATGAAAATTATCAAAACTAGGAAAACTAGCCCTGGTACAAACCATAGAGCTTGATTTCAACAGTTATACATGTACACATTTGTGTCACTTCATCAATGTAATTTTATTACATGTATAGTTTTGTATAACCACCAAAATCAAGATACTTAATTATATACCATTTCTGTAACACTTCATAGCCATATTCACTACTCCTATCCCTAACACCCATCAACTATTAATCTGTTTTCCAACTCTATATTTCACAAATTATAAATATGTACATATATATGTGGAATCATACAGTATATATCTTTTTGAGATTGACTGTTTTTATTCAGTATTATTTCCTTGCAGTTCATTCTTGAATATATGTCACAGAGAAAGGAAAATTTATATTCATTTAGAAACTTGTGTTCAAATGTTCTTGGCAAGTTTACTCCTATAGCCAAAAACTTAAAACTACCCAGATGTACTAAAGTGGATGAATGAATGAACAAATTATGTTATATTCATACCATAGTATCATATTTAGCAGAGAAATGGAATGAAGCATTGAAGTTTTTCTTTTTAGAGTTTCTCTAACCTATATAGTTTTTAAATTTCAGTTATCGAAACATGGAAAATTTTGAATTCCTACACAAATATATAAAATGACTTAAAATCTATTGTCTCTTTAAATTACAATTCAACCTAAAAATTATATAAGTTTAAAATATTTAATCATAGGTCAGGGACTTTGACTTCATTTGCCACAGAACCAATATTATGATTTACTAGGATTTCCCAAAGCTGTTAATAAAATGTACTGATCAAATAATTTAACTGTAGCATTTTTCCAATTCTAGAGGATTAATCTTTAAGATCCAGAACTTAATCATAACTATTCATGATTATTTATTTATTTTAAAACATATTTTATTGACTTTTTACAGAGATGAGAGAGGGATAGAGAGTTAGAAACATCGATGAGAGAGAAACATCAATCAGCTGCCTCCTGCACACTCCCTACTGTGGATGTGTCCGCAACCAAGTTACATGCCCTTGACCGGAATCGAACCCAGGACCTTTCAGTCTGCAGGCCGATGCTCTATCCACTGAGCCAAAAAAATTTCGGCCAGGATTGTTTATTTATAATATGATTTTAAAAAGTATTAGAAAACACACATTAGGTTTAAGACATAACCTCTTTACAAATATATCATGAGTACTAATATGTATCAATGGAAAAATATTATGTGCTGCCTTAAATTACTGTTGTTGACATATTTTTCTTGAAGAATCAGGGTTATTATTTTAAACTAGAGGCCTGGTGCACGTGTACACCAAGGGGGTCCCTCAGCCTGGTCTGCGGGACCAGGCCAAAAGTGGCTCCTGGATTGGGAGAGGGCATAGGCCAGGCTGAGGGACCCTACTGGTGCACAATCAGGACCAGGGAAGGATGCGAGAGGGCTCCAGGGCATGTCCGACCCATCTCACTCAGTCCCTATCCACTGGACCCCAGCAGCAAGCTAACCTACTGGTTGGACCATCTGCCCCTGGTGGTTAGTACACATCATAGCGAGTTGTTGAGCAGCCTTAGTATATCATTAGCATATTACGCTTTGGTTGAACAGATGACTGGATGACCAGACCCTTAGCATATTAGGCTTACATTATATTGGATATCCATCACTGTAGTGTGTTATAGGTACAGATACTTATACAAAGATATTTAGCAGTTATAATGTTGAATTGAGAAACAAAAGTTGTTGTAACCCAAAAATCTGCATTAATGACCAGAATAAAATTA